ATGGGCTGATATGTTCCCAGCTTACTTGAGTAAGCATCATGCTGAAAACAATTGGGGGTCTTCATTAATAAACCTTCACCCAGGTTTATTCTATGGTTATTTTGTAACTCCTTATGTTGAACACTTAGCTCATTAATGTTCTGCCTTCCTTCTTTAAGATATTTAAGGCTACAAATGCTCTTTGAAGTTATTGCAATCACTACATCTCACAAATTTTTCTGTCTTTCATGTTTGACTATGAAACACTTAGATTTGTTTTGTTGCCTTTATCCTTTTGGAGGTTTGCTGAGCTTTTTGTATCTGTGTGGTTGTTTTTTCTTTTTCTTTTTTTTTTTAAAGAGCCTTAGTGAGATATAGATAATTCACCTATTTAAAGAATACACGTCAACGTTCTTTAGTATATTCACAGAGTTATGCAACCATCACCACAATCTAATCATAGAACATTTTCATACCTCCTAAAAGAAATCCCATACCCATTAGTAGTCAACCTCTTACCTCCCCTATCCCCAGCCCTAAATAACCACTAACCTACTTTCTGTCTTTATAAGTTTGCCTATTCTGGACATATCCTATAAGTGGAATCATACAATATGTAATCTTTTGTGACTGGCTTCTTTCACTTGGCATAATGTTTTCAAGGTTCTTCTATTTTATAGCATGTAACCATACCTCATTTCCTCTGTTTATCCATTCATCAGTTGAAGGGCATTTGGATTGTTTCCAATTTTTTGATTATTGTGAATAATGCTGCTATGAACATACGCGTACAAGTTTTTGTGTGGCCATATGTTTTCATTTCTCTAGGAATGGAATTGTTCTGTAACATAGTAACTGTATATTTAGCTTTCTGAGGAACTGCCAAATTGTTTTCCAAAGGGGCTTCATTATTTTTCATTTTCACTAGCAATGTCTGAGGGTTCCAATTTCTCTACATGTTAACACTGTTTATTGTCTGTCTTTTTTATTATAGCCATCCTAATGGGGGTGAAGTGGTATCTTATTGTAGTTTCAATTTGCATTTTCCTAATGACTAAAGATTCACTCATGTGATTATTGGCCATTTGCATACCTTCTTTGGAGAAATTTCTATTCAAATCCTTTGACCAATTTTTGGTCAAATCCTTCGACCAAAATGGGGTTGTCTTTTTGTTGTTGAATTGTAAGAATTCTTTACATATTCTGGACATAATTCCCTTACCAGGTATGTGATTCGCAAATATTTTCTCCCATTCTCTCAGTTGTCTTTTCACTTTCTTGATGGTATTGTTTGCAACACAAAAGTTTTTAATTTCTATGTAGTCTAATTTATCTATTTTTTTTTTTTTTTGTCATTTATGCATTTGGTGTCATAGCTAAGAAACCATTGGCCAACCCAAAGTCACTCAGATTTACTCCTGTTTTTTCTTATAAAGAATTCTATAGTTTTCACTCTTACATTTAAGTCTATGGTCCATTTTGAGTTAATTTTTTCATCTGCGGTTTTATATCTTTCATTACTTTTATAAAGTTCTTCTTTATTTCCTATTATCTCTTCAAATATTGCTGCTGCCTCATTCTCTCTTTCCTCTTTTTCTAGGACTCCAGTTACACTTATGCTGGATTTATTCATTGTGCACATGCCTTTTAAACTCTGTTTTGTTCTCTCCATTCTTTTTTCTCTTTGTGTTCCAGTGGGTTTTTTTTTTCTTGACTTGTCCCCAAATTCACTAATCTTTTGTTCTGCTGTGTCTAGTCTGATATTCAACCCATCCATTGAGTTCTTGATTTCAGTTATTATAGTTTTTTAATTCAAGATTTTCCATTAGGGCTAGCTGGTTAGCTCATTGAGGAGAGTGTGGTGCTGGAAACACCAAGGTCAAGGGTTTGGATCCCCATACCAGCCAGCTGTTTAAAAAAAAGAAAGATTTTCCATTAATTCTTTTTTATGAATCCCCATTCTCTGTTAAAATGCTGCACCTTTTAAATCAATTATGTCCAATTTTCTTCTATTTTATAATCTATTGCTTTGTTTTATAATAGTTATTTTAAAGTTCTTATCTGGACTCTAATATCTGGCCTATCTATGTGTCTTTTATTACCTATTGGTCAAATTTTCCTACTTTTTTCATGTCTAATAATTTTTTACCATATGCCAAATTTTTATATAAAAAATACCTATAGACAATATAGTGATGTTATTTTCCTCTGGAGATGAAAATAGACAAGTAACTGAGGGTCTGATTACTTCAGTCCAATAAGGTAGGAGGTGGGTTGGGATTAGGCTATAGTTTTCATAAAACTTAATCCATTTCTCTATGTTCTTTACATGTGATTCCTCTGGGCTTTTGATTGAGACCTGGAAGGTTCCTGCCTCCTTTGCCCTGAAGATTCAGTTCTGCCTTCAAAAGACTTTAAATTTAGATCTTCAGCCTCCACTCATACAACTTCAGAAATATTGCAAATGTCTTGAGAGGAGGAGAATGCCACTATGTTTGAGGTAGGCTTCTCCTTCTAGGCAGAGTTAGTTTTGTGTGCACTAGTAGAATGTAGGGTGATTTTACTCTGCCTACCCAGGCCCAGTGCCTCAGCCTCCAGAATTTGGCAAATACCCTGTGGGAAACTGGCTATATGTTCAGGGCTCCTCTACATTTCTAATCCTTCACGCAATTCGCATGACTGTTAAAAAATTTATTGGTTCCTCTTTTTCTGTGTAAATTCCCTCTGTCTGGGCCAGCCTTGATAAGTCCGTGCCCAGAGCCAGGGAAGAAAACAGCTGATGATTGTTAGCTCTCTTAGTCTAGGTCTTCGCAAAAGAAGATTTATTTAATTGCATTGTCCTTTGATGGTCAGTGAGTGAACATGTGAGGATGCCAATCTAGAAGTTTAAATATAGATGTCACTATGGCCTTTCCAGGTACATGGACCAGCAAAAACATCATCTCAGAGTAGACAAGTGTCATTGGAACTGGGCAGGATGAATCTGCAAGAGCAATACCTTATGTCAGTGAGAAATAATGTACTAAATAGACATTGATTCAGCTTCAGCTTGGCTTAGAGGGAAGACCAGCTCCCTTTCGATGGAGTAAGTCCCTGGGTTTCATACCGGTCAGAAAAAAAAAAAAGAGAGAGGTTTTTAGCTTGTATGTCTTTAAAAACAGATTTCACTTGGGAAAAGAACCCCAGTTGGGGGCGGGCTAAGGTGGATAAATTACACTTCTAAGACTATGATTGGGTCACCATGACTAATTCTACAGAGCTCCCTACTTTATGGGATGATGCCTGTAAATCTTATGTTTTTTGTCTTGGTTCTGTTTCACCTCCCTCAACAAGATACCCTAGGCTAAGGTGGATAAATTACACTTCTAAGACTATGATTGGGTCACCATGACTAATTCTACAGAGCTCCCTACTTTATGGGATTATGCCTGTAAATCTTATGTTTTTTGTCTTGGTTCTGTTTCACCTCCCTCAACAAGATACCCTAGACTGCTCACTAGATTTGTCCCTTTCAGTCCCTGGTTCAATCCCTCCTATCTTTGCTGGTGGAATAACGAAGTGTATGGAACAGAAGCCATAATCAATAAATCAGGCTTCAAATATGCGTTTAGTGTTCAGTATCTGGCGGAGGGCAAGACTGTAGCTAACTTGGGGGGAAATCTATACGTGAGATGTTCCAGGTGGATGTCTGATGCCTCTAATTGTCCGTGTCGCTTAACCCGTGTATACGCAAGTACGGCTCTTCAGTGCGCGCGAGCAACTGAGAACGATTTCTCCAGGCCCAGATCTGTGGCGCCCAGCGTCGCTACTTCCGGCCCCGCCCCTCCCCGAGGTTGCTAGGAGACGTGATGTCACCGGAAGCGAGGCCTGGGATAGGCTGAGGCGCAGGGAAGCCTCCCCCCTGTGCAACCTCAGCGCCGGGCGCTGGCTCTCCAGCTGTTTGTAGGCCTGGAGGTGAGGGTCTTCGGAAGGTAGAGCCGGCTGCGGCCGCGGCCGCCCGCTCGCCGGCTCCCGC